GTGGTATTGTTGGTACTGGGGGGGGATTTTTTTTCCGGCATTAGTATCTGTATCTGTTGGTTTGGAGTGGAGGCCATCGACTGTGGTTCCACTCCAGGAATGACTGGATTTGGTGTACGATTTCTGCCATTTCCTGCCAGTTTTTTTTCCTTCCTGGCACTAAAAAACCTCTCCCTCTTGAGTGGTTGTGGCTACCCAGGTTTTCCCATGGCCTGGATGTTTTGTATCTTTTTGTCCCCTTTAGATGGTATGCCTGGCAATTTAAGTTATAGCACAGTCTTTCCTGTACTGAAGAGGTACACAGTTCAGGGTGAAACAGCTTACAGGAAGGGAGTTTGCATTTTCCTGTTGTCATATGGGCATGGCATTTTCTAGGGTGGTCATAGTTGCACGTCCCATCTGTTTTTCCAGATTTCCCATGCCAGCAGATACCAAGTGCATAGTATGTGCACAGGCTTGGTTTCCGTTTGCCTTGGGTTTCTGTGACTGTATTCCCTGTTGGTGCATGTTTCCGTCTTACTTCTATCATCCCTAGCACCAACAATGGAGCTCCCACCCGTTGTTTTTGGTAATATATCCTCACTATTGCTAGTGGAGTCCTCTTGTTTGCTATTTCCTGCGGTATTTCTAGTTTGCAATATTGGTTTTATCTTATCTTTGACTACACTTGTTTCCCTACTATGGCTCCTGTCCCCTATGAGGTCATTTATATGTATTCCTTCCTGCGTATAATTCCCGACTACCTGGACAAAATCTCCAGCTTCACCACTACTGTCTCCCAGGACAGCATCTCCAGCTTCACCATTACTGTCTCCCAGGACAGCACCTCCAGCTTCACCATTACTGTCTCCCAGGACAGCACCTCCAGCTTCACCATTACTGTCTCCCAGGACAGCACCTCCAGCTTCACCATTACTGTCTCCCAGGACAGCACCTCCAGCTTCACCATTACTGTCTCCCAGGACAGCACTATCAGTGGGCAAAGTCAGGGTATTTTTTCAGTACAGTTGGTAATATACCACTGTGGATAAAGTAGATAAGATAAGATTTGTTTGGATTTTTAACCCAGAATGTTAGCCACCCAGGATAACAAGAAAGTCAGTGCGTCATGGGGATTGTCTGTCTTATTTCCTTTAGGGTCCTTCAATCTTGTCCTCCAGTATGCGACCCACACCACTCGACTAACACCCCGGTACCTACTTACTGCTAGGTAAATAGAGAGAGCAGGTGTAAAGAAACAAGCGCAATGTTTCCACCCATGCTGGGGATTGAACCTTAGACACTCAGTGTGTGAGGCTAGAGCGTTGCCAACATTTCTAAGTGAGTTGCCTCTGAACTCATTAATTTTATCAAATTCCAATACATAATGACGCAATGTGTAACAAATGTCCATCTGGCAAAGTTTACAATTCGTTTGGTCTACATTTGGTAGTGGTGATTTAACCTCCCAGAGGTACTGGTAACCCAGCCGAAGCTGGGCAGTAGTGCCATCCAAGAGTTTAGTTAGTTTAATATGTTTATTATGCACCCCATACCCATCCTGTGGGCGGCAATCAAAAGATTACAGAGGTACATAATGGGTCAAGAGACTGGACCCCAAAGTTTTGATTGTTTCCTGACAAATCTTACAAATCTGACAAATCTTATCTTATCTTATAACGTAGCGTAGTATCATTCCTTTGTATTTGCTGAAGAGGACCTCAGCTCTTGGTCGAAATATGTAGACAACTATTCTTCCTTGTTTTTTTATTCATTTGGGTTTCCTCTCATACGTAGCTCATATTCATATATACATATGTTAACAAAACCTTATAAGTTTTAAGAGGTGTTAGTATCAACACTACGGCAGAATTTTTTTTCCATGCCCTTTTTTTATCAGCTTGTCTGCTCTATAACATAATTTTCAGAGATATTAATAGCTAAGAGAATATGATATGCTTTATCACAACAGAAGCAAAGACGGAGCGATAAGTTAATAAAAATGTACATCGCTACGGTATTTATATTAGGCAGTCATATGTCTTTATTAAACTCCCGGAGCCAGTTGTTGAACCAGGCTTGGAGCTTCTCCAGATTCCTTTGTAGTTCTACCTGATTGTGGGAAAATTTTGATAGTTTTCCAGTAATTTGTATGTAAGAACTGATGGGGATAATAATGTTTATATGAAATTGTGTAGATGTGTATCTTTAGTGCGACTTTTTAAAAAGTATTGTCACGTGGAAACCTATATTACCTATAATTTCCTTATATACTCTAAGGAGTTGATCATAATTTTTAATAAGTATACAGTCCACAATTATAATAAATAAGCTAGGTTTATTTGCTTGAAATTCCTTTATTAATCAATATTCAAGACCTATTTCAGGTTCGGAAGTGAGAATTGCAGGACCTGAGCCGATGGGCATTGAAGAAGGAAAAATATCAGACCTGTTGTTCCTAAAGTCCCACATCTCTCCGAGGTACATCAATATCAGTAAGTATAATCTGTAATAGATGTGTCAGAGTTCTTCCCAGTTATGTGGGTGAAAGTTAATTTAAGAATGTATTTGTAAAATTGTAAAAAATCATCCACATAATTTCTCACACTGATCCTCATCCACTTCAATTCTCCACATTAACTTCATGTCGTCTGCAAACAGGGACACCTCTGAATCTATCCCTACCGTCTTGTCATTCACATATACCAGAAATAGCACTGGCCCTAGAATTGACCCTTGGGAAAACCCGCTCGTCACAGGCGCCCACTCTGACACTTCGTCCTGTACCATCATTCGTTGTTTCCTTTCTGTCAGGTATTCGCTGATCCATTGCAGTGCTTTTCCTGTTTTTTTCCTGCTCCTTTAGCTTTTGCACCAATCTCTTGTGCGAAACTGTTGAAAGCCTTCTTATAGTCCAAGAAAATGCAGTCTACCTACCCCTTTTTCTCCTGCCTCTGTGTGTGTACTCACCTAATTGTGATCGCAGGGGTCGATTTACAGCTCCTGCCCCCGCCTCTTCATTGGTCGCTACTAGGTCCGCTCTGCTTCAAGAACCTTATTTTACCAGTAAATCACTTGCCACATTATTCCACTTCTGACAACTCTATGACTGAAGAAATACTTCCTAACATCCCCGTGACTCATCTGAGCCTTTAACTTCCAGTTGTAACCCTTTGTTTCTGTGTCCCTTCTCTAGAACATCCTGTCCCTATCCACCCTGTCAGTTCCCCTCAGTATCTTCTCTTATGTCATTATCATGTCTTCCCTATCCCTCCTCTCGTTCAGTGTCGTCAGGTCGATTTCCCTTAACCTCTGTCTCTGTCCGTGTCATAATGTGAAAAAAAAATGCCCAATGTATATTACGATCGTATTTGTTGTTTACCTGGAGTTTACCTGGAGAGAGTTTCGGGGGTCAATGCCCCCGCGGCCCGGTCTGTGACCAGGCCTCCTGGTGGATCAGCGCCTGATCAACCAGGCTGTTGCTGCTGGCTGCACGCAAACCAACGTACGAGCCACAGCCCGGCTGATCAGGAACTGACTTTAGGTGCTTGTCCAGTGCCAGCTTGAAGACTGCCAGGGGTCTGTTGGTAATCCCCCTTATGTGTGCTGGGAGGCAGTTGAACAGTCTCGGGCCCCTGACACTTATTGTATGGTCTCTTAACGTGCTAGTGACACCCCTGCTTTTCATTGGGGGGATGGTGCATCGTCTGCCAAGTCTTTTGCTTTCGTAGTGAGTGATTTTCGTGTGCAAGTTCGGTACTAGTCCCTCTAGGATTTTCCAGGTGTATATAATCATGTATCTCTCCCTCCTGCGTTCCAGGGAATACAGGTTTAGAAACCTCAAGCGCTCCCAGTAATTGAGGTGTTTTATCTCCGTTATGCGCGCCGTGAAAGTTCTCTGTACATTTTCTAGGTCGGCAATTTCACCTGCCTTGAAAGGTGCTGTTAGAGTGCAGCAATATTCCAGCCTAGATAGAACAAGTGACCTTATTTTCTTATACATTTTTTATTGTGCGGATGTGAGCCTTTGGGGCTTATGTCAATATATTATTCTAAATTAATAATAAAAAATAATTATTGATCCCCGTGATTAATGTAACTCATTACAATTGTAACCAGATATCAACATGTGGTAGTTCATTACGACTTGAACTTGTTAAGCTATCAAAACTTTTTGGCCCAGTTCTTAGACCCATTATGTGCCTCTAATCTTTTGACTACTAGTTACACTCATGGATAGACACTTATGCAACATATGGGGATCTTCATTGAAGAAACGTTTCGCCACACAGTGGCTGCATCAGTCCAATACAAAGCAGAAAGGTAATCAGTCCCTCAGCCTGGAATCGATGTGTTCAGTACATCAGTCTTGTAGAAAGTAAAGCATATGGCCGAAGACCTACGTACATTAGTGAATGGTTCCACTGTGATCCCGCCTCCTCCTGCTTCCACTCACCTGACTACAGTATATAAGCCACTTATCCGGCCATATGCTGTACTTTCTACAAGAGTGATGGACCGAACACATCGATTCCAGACTGAGGGACTGATTACCTCAAACTCCTATCCTTACACCTCTCTGCTTTGCACTGGACAGATGAAGCCATTCATCACACATGGATATGGACAGCATAATAATGATATTAAACTAATGAAAACAAACCAGGAACTCTGTGTCTCAGATAATATTGAGTTTTAAATTCCAAATCAGTTATCTGAGTATGTCATTAGTTTAGCATTTATGTCTGTATATTCAGTTACCAGCAATCGATAATGTTAATATGGATTTTTTTTGCAACTTATGTCTTATGTTCCCATTTAAAAAAAATGCTTGTAACTGTATAACGTTAACTCTCTGGACATACGTTATAATATATACCCATGCTATATAACAACAAAAGATGTAATTTGAACGTATCAGAGCAAGTTTATATGGAAAAAAAAGGCATATTTTGAATCCATAGTAGGCGCCAGGTGACGTCAGTCTCGCAGGTTCTCGCTCAGCGCGAGACAACATCAGTGGCAGCCCAGTTTTGGTTTGTGTGCGTTGTGGGATGAAATATTTCTCCTCTTTTCAGCGGATTTACCCTCCATAGGTGGATTCCTCTGCTAGGAAGACGTCGAGGGGCATTAACCCGTAAGTATCCAGTAAAATAAAAGGATGTTGGAAACCGTTCTCTGTATTTTTTGTGTGAAAATGGGAAATGTTTTGAAGGGAGAGAGACTGGGATTCCTGACGACGGCGACGCCTGCCCAAAATGTCCATTACAGTGTGTCTATTGATTTTCAAGCTTCTAGGTCATGTTTTGGCTTAGTTACATTGGTATCCTGGTAATTTAGGATGTATAGATAACGTGTGCAGGTGAATGTAGCTTTCACATGTCTGTTTGTTTACTTTAATTTGGGATTTAAGGAGAACGGGAAACGAAGTTGTGAATTTTTCTTTCATTAAGCAAATGATCGAGAATGGGAACTTTAAGAAAATAAATGTTGTATTTTAACGTTGTGATAGTCGTATAAGATCTCTTTCAGGTAATTAAAAGCTTTAATATACCGTAGGCTATAAGCAGAAACGCAAAAAAGGCCCAGAAAAGGAGAAACTAAGCGATAATAGACAATAAAATATTGTGCTGGGGAGAACGGTGGATAAGAAAGAAAATGGCGACCTCCTCCCCCCTAGGATATGATTTACGGGTAATGTAAATAAAATGGTATTACCCAGACTGAATCCTTCAGATTTGCACTCTATTAAAAGTTGAAGCTGATACTTTTAGTACGTTAATGAACAGCAGCTAAGACATTAAAAACCCTATTTATTTCCTAAACCGATACATTTTAAGGATTTTTCCTGTATATTTGTTATGATGTTTTGTGTTATAATTTTCACTGGATGAAGTGCAAGGCAAACGGTAACACTTTTAACCACCTGTCGAGTAGCAGATTTATTTGGCTAGTGTTTTCACTCTGTTGTAATGCCTTTCATATTTTTGTTCACTTAACAAATATATACCTTATCGCTTACCTTATCCTTAGCTTTATTTTATGCAGCCAGAAGCCTAGACATAACAATCTACATATGCTTTGGGAAAGGGGAAAGTTCTTTTGAGGCGAGGCTGTACATAAATTATTACTAGTTACTTTTTCATTACCTATTTGTGTCAGGTGAAGTCATCAAATTTCCAAGTCTTCAACGTCAGCAGGTTATCCAGCCAGCAGGCTCAGTGACTTCATAAACTCGAGACACCAATTTTCAACAGCATAATTTAGGTTAGGTAATGTTATATTAGGGCAGTGGTTGCTGATAATTTTATGAAATTTGTATATGGGAGAACTTTTTGCCTGTATGAGTATATTGTGGACTTCTTACTGATCAGTGACTTGGTAGTGTCAGTGAGATCACTGGAACTGTATTCTGTTATATGCTTAGCTATATTTTCTACAATGGTCTTGATGGCTGACAATTGCTATATCCACATATATAGTGCATCATGTAGATTTAACCTAAGATGACCCAGTTAAGTTAGTGTGATTTACAGTATTTCCATTTGTTTATGATCCTTACAGGTTTTCTTTATCTATCCTTTTTTTGTTTATTAAGGTTAGTATTATCCAAAGGTAGTATAGAACATATATGGCCCCCAAGACAGATTCCTTGATGCCAGTGAGGGGTTCTTGATCCAAGAATTAGGACCTGACCTCGTGGCTTGGTAGGCAACACTCGCCTCACATACTTAGTGTCCATGGTTCAATCCCCAGCAAGGTTGGAAACATTGGGCATGTTTCTTACACCTGCTGTCCCCATTCATCTAGCAAGTAAATAGATACATAGGTGTTAGCTGAATGGTGTGGGTCGCATCCTGAGGGACTCCAATGGAAATAAGGTACAGTCTTCGATGACGCACTGACTTTCTTGGGTTATCCTGGGTGGCTAACCCTCTGGGTTAAAAAATCTGAGCAAAATCTTATCTAGCACAGTTGCTTCCCATTCCCTGGGCACTGTATAACCCCTGTAGGTTTAGTGCTCCCTCATGACTAATAATAAGCTCAGTCACACATATAAGCAATTTGTATTCATATTTGTATCATAATTATAGTACACCTACCATCCGACTTACGACCTGCTCGAGATACGTCCACTCGACTTACGACCGTGCATCTGGCAGCTGGGCTGGGCCGGCTGATGCACACTGCTGTACAGTATTTGACGATACTCGCGGCGGAAATGCGTCATGCAGGCAACATCAGTCTGAGTAACCCTGCCCTATCAGCAGCATCATACTGTATTAACTGTACTAACTGGACAGTAAATTTCACCATGGCCCCTAAGATGAAGTCTGAATCTTGCACTGGAGATTGTGGCAAGAAAGGCTCTTACTCTTGAACTCTCTATTTGTTTTCACTGTTGCACATAAACATGTCTGTATCTGTCTGCCTGTATCTCTGTGTGTCTGTTTATCTGTTTACCTGTTTGTCTGTCTTTACGTCTACCTGTGTGTCTGTCTTTACATCTACCTGTGTGTCTGTCTTTACGTCTACCAGTGTGTCTGTCTTTACGTCTACCTGTGTGTCTGTCTTTACGTCTACCTGTGTGTCTGTCTTTACGTCTACCTGCGTGTCTGTCTTTACGTCTACCTGCGTGTCTGTTTTTATGTCTACCTGTGTGTGTCTGTCTACCTGTGTGTCTGTCTGTCTACCTGTGTGTGTCTTTCTGTCTGCTTGTCTGTCTCAGAGCCACTCATTAAGAGTGTAATTGATCTCGAAGATGCCATATTAATAATGATAATAACACAATAATAATCACTGAGGCGCATTAATTGCGTATAAAACGTTAATATAGACATTTTGCTTAATCCATCTATGATTTTTTTTTTTTCAAAATTATATAATACGGTAGAACCTCAAAAATCGAACTTAATCCATTCCAGGAGCTAGTTCTAAATTCGAAAAGTCGGAAATTCGATTCAATATTTCCCATAAGAAATAATGGAAATACAATTAGTCCGTTCCAGAAACCCAAAAATATTCACACAAAAAATACATTTTATAGAGATTAATTACAGTTTTACATACAACAAATACTTTAGTTTTTAATTATGTATAGTAATACATATAAAATAACATTTTTACTTACCTTTATTGAAGATTGGGGATGGCATCTGGAAGATAGGGAGGAGGAGAGAGGGAGTTGGGGTTAGTGTTTGGAAGGAGAATCCCCCTCCATGAGGACTTCAGGTAAAGCCCTCTCTGGGGTTACTTCCCTTCTCTGTCTTTTAATGCCACTAGGACCAGCTTGAGAGTCACTGGACCCCTGTCTCACAAAATAACTGTCCACAGTCCTGTTTCTGGCGCCTCTTTAACATTTCCCTAAAATGGGACATGGTTCTGTCACTGAACTTGTTGCAAAGATGGCTTGTTTCAGCTTGCTCAGGGTGGTACTTCTGCACAAACATTTGGACATCATTCCACTTGGCACAAATCTCCTTGATCTTTGAAGAAGGCACCTCATCCACTCCCTCTTCCTCCTCCTCTGAAGCAAGTTCCTCAGCTGTGGTCTGATACTGCTCCAGATGAAGCTCTTGCAGCTCTTCAGTGGTTAGCTCTTCCCTGTGGTCCTCCACCAACTCTTCCACATCCTCGCCACTCACCTCCAACCCCAGGGTGTTCCCCAATGCCACAATAGTCCACAACAGGCAGAGAGTGAGCCGGGTCAGGGTCAGCCTCAAACCCTTCAAAATCCCTCTTTTGGACACAATCTGGCCACAAATGTCTCCAAGCAGAGTTCAAAGTCCTTACCTATAAGGCTTATGGAGTTGTAGATGTTGAAGTGATTCCTCCAGAACTCTCTTAGGGTCAACTTAGTGTCTGTGGTCACTTCAAAGCACTTTTCAAACACTGCTTTTGTGTAGAGTTATTTGAAGTTAGAAATGACCTGCTGGTCAATGGGCTGGAGGAGAGGAGTGGTGTTAGGAGGCAAGAACTACACTTTTATAAAACTGAAGTCCTTAGACAAGAGGTCTAATAAGTGTGGAAGATGAGCAGGAGCATTGTCCATTAACAGGAGGCACTTGAGTGGCAATTTCTTTTCCTGGGGGTATTTTTTCACACTGGGGCCAAACACTTCATAGACCCACTCTTTGAAAATTTGTCTTGTGACCCATGCCTTATGATTAGCTTTCGACAAGACACTTAACTTGTTCTTAAAGACATTGTTTTTCTTAAACACACTGGGATTTTCTGAATGATACACAAGTAAAGGCTTCACTTTAAAATTGCCACTAGCATTAGCACAGAATAAGAGTAAGCCTGTCTTTCATAGGCTTGTGTCCTGGCAGTGCCTTTTCCTCCTGTGTGATGAAGGTCCTTTTTGGCATTTTCTTCCAAAACAAGCCTGTTTTGTCACAAACACTTGTTCAGGTTTGAATTCTTCACTGTCTATGTACCCCTTAAACTCCTGTACAAACTTCTCAGCCGCCCGTTTGTCTGAACTGGCTGCCTCACCATGTCGTACAACATTGTGTATGCCACTACGCTTCTTAAATCTGTCAAACCAGCCTCTGCTGGCCTTCAATTCACTATCAGCACTGGTTCCAGGAGTTTTCTGTACCAGATTGGCATGCAACTTCCTTGCCTTTTCGCAAATAATCGTCTCTGAAACACTATCACCTGCAATCTCTTTTATCCTTGATCCACACCAGCAACAACTTCTCAACCTCTTCAACTATTTGTGGTCTTTTTTTGGTTAGCATATTAACACCTTTTGCAACATCAGCTTCCTTGATTTGTTCTTTCTTTGACAGGATAGAACCGATGGTCGACTTGTTTTTCCCATACATCCTGGCAAGCTCAACAAGTCTCACACCACCCTCATACTTCTGTATTATTTTCTTCTTCACATCTATGGTGTTTCTCACTTTCTTTACCACAGGGTACTTTGGACCCATGGCAGCTTATTTCACAGTCCCACAAGCACTAAACACAACTAAATAATCGTAAAATATGTGAATGAGAGCGCAGGCTAATGTTCACTCAAGCATAAACAAAGCTAGACTGCTCACGGCGCCTGCGGGGGACGCGGACAGAGCGGGCTGGCAGACAGGTCCCATACCCGGCGGTCCGAAATTAGGAGCACGTTTGATA